TAAATGATCTGGAAGCAAAGGGTTTCCAAAGAAGATAATTTAAAAATAGTTTAAAATTCATTACTTGTTAATGTATTAGAATGCAGGATCCTATATCCTATAATCATTCCTTTTAGTTATCTAAGTTTCTCTGTGATGTGAAGCATCAAATATTAAATATTAGACCAAAAGAAAACAACAAGGCTATAAGAAGCATTTTCTAGAACTCCTGCCTTCAGCTATTCATATATAATATTTAATTGATCAATCATTCTGCTTGGCTAGAACAGTAAAAGACAGCAAGAAGAAAGTAAGAAGTTATTCAAGCAGAGAAAAGAAATAACCAGTAATACCCACCATATATCTGGGGGCATAGTTCAGCTGCTACAATGCCTTCCTAGCAAGTGTAAAGCCTCTGTTCAATCACTAATACCACAAAATAAATACATACTACACCCATATCTACCTACCATATTATATAACTTTGTGTATGGATGTTTATAATCACAAAACCAAGGATGAATTGAAGAAATATTACAAACCAATTAGGAATGCTACTGGTACAGATTGAGCATCCTAATCAGAAAATATCCAAAACCTGAAAGTTTTTGAATATAGATATGCTGCTACAAGTGAAAAACTCCATACTTATGTGACAAGTAGTAGGTAAAACACATGTGCACTGAAAATTAAATTACCTTCAGGCAATGTCTACAAAGTATATATAAAACATCAATAAATTCTGGACAAGACTGGGTCCCCTCCTCCAAGAATCTAATTATGTACATGCAAATAGTAAATAAAATCTTCTGTTCCTAGCATTTCAGGTAAGAGATACTTAATTCACACTTTAGTTTGTGAATATTAAGGCTCAAATTCCTTATCCCAAACTGTCTTAGAATTGTTATAGTTCCAGCATTAAATGAACTACTACATTTCTTCTGTTCCCAGAATCGATAGGAACTGTATTCTATAAAGAGCATTAAGAAATATCTAAGGACGCAGCCAGGTATATCTTAGGAAAATCATTAAATAGAGGAAAAATGGCAAGTTATCACTAGTGGTTAAACATCAGTCAAGGCTCACTACAGTCTCTTAAGGCTCATGATGGTAAGCTCTAAAGTTCAACCTGAAAACACAAATAATTTGTGTAGTCATAAATGCCTTCCAAATCCCAAAAGCACAGCTTGCGTGATTTTGTAAATATGAATAAGTACAAACATGCCATCTCTCACTAAGTCTAATGTATCTGTTTCTCTACAGTAGTTAATGGTTTGTTCTTTCCTTAGATGAAATGGCCTAGGAGCCATGAAATGTTCAGGAGTTTAAAATAGTAATGAAATATGTTTTTCTACCTACACATACATATAAACTGAAATAACTAGTAATTTCAGCAAAATAAATGTATATGCTTATACCTTATGCTGGGAAGACAAAAACACCTAATTTACTTTTCTACAAAAATCTATGTTATTTTCCTTTAATCCATAAGAAAGTTCATATATGGTAAATCTGAGATGGCAATCTACCTCTATTTGGCTATGCTTTTGCCAAATTAACTATAATGCACAAATATACTGTGAGAAGCATACAAAAAAATTTTCTCCTGAAATTTTATTTTAAGTATACCTAGGGAAAAAACTATCAATATTTATCTCAGTGCTGTTATTTTTATGCAAGAATATACTTGTAGGAGGTAGCAACTAGTAACCTAAGAACATCAGACAGGAGACCAGGTACCCTGGGGCATGAACACCAATAGGAGAAGCCTATAACTAGCAAGAGGCAGTACTTCCCACTAACCACAGTCAGACGTGTGTCACCCACTCACTGAATTTATCTTATGTCATAATTCCAATATGTATGTCTGTAATTACTTTTTTTCTTTAAGATTTTCATTTAATCTAATTCATAGATTTTTTTAATCTAGTGATAGAGCAGGGCTTTCAAATGATATTGCTTTTCTGCTGCATTCACTTCATCAGGATACCACTCGTGCTGTCATCTACTTTGAACCAAACACTTTGTAGATGATATATGTATATGTTTGTGCCAGCACTGAGCATGATGAACTCTGAGCCTCACACTCTCACTCAAGACGGACTCTTCCACTTGAACCACAACTTTACTTCTGGCTTTTTTGCTAGTTAACTGGAGATAAGAGTCTCATGTATTTATTTGCCTGGGCTGGCCTCAAACCTTGATCTTCAGATCTGATCCTCCTGAGTACCTAGGATTATAGGCATGAGCCACTGTTACCTAGCTTGTAGATTATTTTTAAAATATTCAGGCATTAACTCCATTTGGGAACTATCACAGCATAGCACTGCTTCCTTCAAAACTGGCAGATTACATGCTTACAACTGTGAGGCTCTTGAACAACTTAATAAAGTCCAGCTCCAGACCCTGGCAGACTTCCTCTGACTCCTCTCAGTCCAGCATTGAAGCTTGCTTGGGTTCTTTTCCATCTGCTTTTGCTCACCATCTTGTTTTACACAAAACAAATATCTTAACAGAAGTTTGTTGCTCTACTGTAGGCAGGGATCTTAATCCTGCATCAAGCTATGTGCTGGTGGCTCACTCCTGGAATCCTAGCTACTCAGGAGGCTGAGACCTGAGGATTGCAATTTTAAGCCAGCCCAGGCAAAAAAGTCCCCATGAGACTCTTATCTCCAATTAACCACTCAAAAACAGCAAGTGGAGCTGTGGCTCAATGTGGGAGAATACTAGCCTTGAATAAAAGAGCTCAGGGACAGTGCCCAGGCCCTGAGTTCAAGCCCCATGACCAAAAAAAAAAAAAAATCCTTCATCATTATGATGAAGGATTCTATGCCTGCTGCCAAACAATATATTACAAATTTCACCTTGTAACTTCAGCACTAGTACATAGAACAAGAAAAATACGTCAGATAAGATGGTAATTTGAACACAAACACCTTAACTTCTAAATCTCAACAAAAAGAATCATTGAAACAATGAAAAAGTCTGACATCAACAGTGGAAACTAGGAAAGGGTACTCTCTACATGGTTTAGAGTTACAAATTCCTTTCTTTTTTGTTTGTACCAGTACTAGGGCTTGAATTTAGGGTCTCTCACTCTCGCTTAGTTTTTTTCACTCATAACTAGTATTCTACCACTTGTGCCATGCCTCCAACTCAGACTTTGAAGAATTTCTGCCACACAGAGAGTAAGTGAGGAGGATGGGGTGAAAAGAAAATACCAGCTTAGGCCCAGCACTGGTGGCTCATGTCTGTAATCCTAGCTATTCAGGAGGCTGAGATCTGAGAATTGCAGTTCAAAGCCAGCCCAGGCAGAAAATTCCGTGAGACTCTTATCTCTAATGAAACACCAGAAAACCAGAAGTAGCACTGTAGCTCAAGTGGTAGAGCACTCGTCTTGAGCTGAAGAACTCAAGGACAGTGCCCAGGCCCAGAGTTCAAGCCCCATGACCGACAAAAGAGGAAAAAAAGAAAAGAAAATACCAGCTTTTTCCCAGTTCCCTTCCAAAGAAAATGAAGATATGAGAAAACCCTGCAAATAAACCCTATTTTACAAGTCCAAGGCTGGAGAGGAGCATGAAGCACCAAAAGCACACAGTATGGTCCTTACAAAGAATCAGGCACATGAACACTATCCTGAGTATAAAGGGCAGTAGCAAGAAAGGACAGATCAGGAATAATAATAATGTAGGAATAATATAGATGACAGGCTACACAGAGAAGATTTAGGAAGCTGATTCTCATATTCCTATTTCTCCAAACAGAAGAGACAGCAAACAGAGCAATTGCACCTATCAGGCACCTACCCCCTCTGTACTCTATCTGAGCTTCAGTTTATCTGAATGAGCCTTCCTACTACTTTAAGATAGTAGATTTGAAGTTTTAGCTATCTAATAGCAGAACCTACAGCTACCAATCTTGGACAAAGGCTAGGAGGTTCTGACCTTTGCTTATCTATTTAAGCAGAAACCTGTCCTGATACAAAGAGTTAAAAGTCTTTTTTTTTTGGAGGGGGGGAGCGGTCTTGGGGCCTGAACTCTGGGCCTGAGCACTGTCCCTCAGCTCTTCAGCTCAAGGTTAGTGCTCTACCCCTTGAGCCACAGCGCCACTACTGGCTTTTTTTTTCTTTTTGCTTATGTGGTGCTGAGGAATCCAACCCAGGGCCTCAGGCATGCAAGGCAAGTGCTCTACCACTGAGCCACCTTCCCAGCCTCCAGTTGAAAGTCTTGATCTATAAAAATACTTCAGAACATAAAATATGGAGACTGTGTTCAAGAGAACACATTTGTAAGTTTATGACAGGAAACCGACATTTGGTTGCATTTACCTTGAAATTCAGTAAAATATGAAAAAAGTAGATGAAAAATGATAATTTAAAATGAAAGACTGACGTTTAAAAATAATAAGGTAATAATCCCACTAAAACACTCTAGCTCAAAAGAGAAAGAAATGAGGGTATATTTGTGAAGGGCTCTTTGAACATGGATAAATTGAACAATGAAAAGGTGAGGCTTCCATCTAGTGAACTAGGAATGGTTGGGGCAGGAAGTGATACTAAATGACTGGCTAGCCACCTGGAAGAGAAAGAACCACCTGCCACACCATATTCAATAAACAAAGGTGACTCAAATACCTGGGTGTGTGTGAATATGCTCATATGTATGTGAAATAAATGAATAAAATTTAAAAGACCATTTGAACCCAAATAAAAAAATTCCAGAAGCAGTAAAGGAAAAGGAAAATGCAAATAGAGAATAACATATATAATACTGCAAGAGCATGGTATGTAGCTTAATGCTGGAGTACAAGGATAGACAGAATGGTAGGATATGCAAAATGCTGAATTGAATAAAAAGTGAAAAAAGGACAAAAGAAAAGGAGGAAGGGGAAGGAAATTTCTGATATTAGATTCAGGGAAAAAAATTAGAACAAAAAGACCTTAAAGTTCCTGCAGAAACATGGCCAGTGATTAATAATCCAACAACAGACTCTTCTAAATAGTATTTATTTAGCACTTCATGAACAATTATAAAAAACATTTGACAGTACCCATTGTAAAAACATCAAAATGAGTGCAAACACAGCTGTGCACTGTAAGTTGAGCTTGCATTTTTCTTATTGTTTTATTTGAAAACATCCAGTGAGTGAATTGTAAGTCACTCTAAGGCTCTGAGTCCATGTTAAATATCTCCCATGATACAAATTCAAATCTATTAAGACAATTTCTGTAAGTGTGTACAGTACTTTTATAGGAAGACATCAATGTCTCTTCTTCTTCTTCTTCAAATTTTTCTAATGAATGTGTGCTCTCTGATTTGATACCCCAAAATGTCTTCCTGAGTTTGAACACCATTTTTGGTCCTAATTTTCCTTTTATTAGACAGTTGACTTTTGCATTGCCATTTGCATGGTGTAGCCAACAAACCCTCCATTCACAACTCTCACATGGAAATGCAGTAGGTTGTCAGATGGAACTTGTTGAATCAGATATAGATCTTCACAAGTGTATGTACTTCCAAAAGTTTAAAATCATACATTGAATTCTAGACTGCTGTAATTTGCACACTTCTACATTAAAAGTTTCGAAGCTTCCAGAGTAGTTCTACTCATGAGGCTTTCGTTATAAGTTGTCCTTCATCAGTTTTCAGTTTAGTTTCCATTAGCATTGTCACTGTGCATTGTCCCTATCTGGCTAACTATATCCTTTATCATCAACTAAAGTGTTTAATCCAACAAAAGAAATCAGGAAATCAAACCACAGTTTAGTGGTTTCTTGTTTCAGATGAGGTAATAAAGTAAAACCCAGCTTGAAGAAGGCTCAATGAAGCCTTAACTTAAGGGGGCAGAATGTCTATCTAACTTCTCCGGAATATGGCATCATGCAGAAGGTTTCTTATTCCACATGTAGTGTAAATTCCAAGATTACTGGATACTATATTCAGAAGGCAGCTTAAAAATAAACATCAAAAAGAAGAACTTATGCATGGGCTGCATTCACCAATATTTTGAGTATGCTATGCCACTAATCACTTTCAAAACTCTAGTTGCATATAAATTTCTTCCAGAAGATTTGTATTTTTTTCAGAACTTCATTACAGTCTCCCCCCCCAAAAAAGAAAAAAGAGAATGCTGAATCTTCTGAGGAAAAAAAAAAACCAAGGAAAATATCTTTTATCATGTAGTAAGTTGAGTCCAAAATGTAGAAAAAAGGAAAAGGAACAACTGTAAATGACTGTGTAAAACATAAATGGCCAAGAAGAAAACTGGCTCTTTACAAAGTCTAGTTCCTTCTCTACACAATTCCCCCTTTCACACAGAAATGGCTGTAGTTTCCAATCATGGCAAGGGCTGGGCTGTCTTTCATCCACCAAATGCTCTGCTAGCTGACAGAGACCATGGAGCTGTGAAGATAGAAATGGGGGGAGGGAAGGCTGGTAAAGGAGATACATGAGGCAATGGGATCTTCATTTCAAACTAAACATCAACAGCTTACACTGTCCCACAGGGAGAAGCTAATGTACAGAGTATGGTAACATGCGTTCACTTCTACTGGTTGTGAAGTCAGAACTTTTCAGTTAAGAGAATAGGTCAGAGACATTATTAGGTGCCTTCTACCAGCATTTCTCCAATAAAGAATTATGTGGGTAAAGTAGAAATGTCTAGAATGAAGGTTGGTCCCCTGACATATACAGTTCGTGTTTCCCTCAGTTTTTAAAGCCAAAAATAAAAAGTTCTTCTCTTTTATCAGCATTGAGGTTTGAACTCAGGGCCTTTACTTGCTAAGCATGCCCCCCCCCATTTTTTTGCTTTACTTATTTTTCAGATTGGGTCTTGCACTTTTTGCCCAAGCTGGTCTTTATCCCAATCTTCCTGATCTCTGCTCCTGAGTGGCTGGGACTCATAGGCACAAGCTACCATTCTAGGCCTTAAAAAATACTTTTTATTATTATAGCTCCCAACTCCTAAAGGCTAAGGGAAGCATTTATCCACATTTTCCAAAAACACATCCGTAAGGATGGGGGTCAAATAGCAAGGAAACACACATAGCCCTTAGATTTAACAGAATAGGGCTATCAGAGTAACACATTCAAGACCCTAGATTAGCTCCCCAACATGGAAAAAGTAGAATTATGGAATATATTAGACTATACAATGTCATAACCATATATTTAAATTGAAAAAATAAGTAGCCTTGTCATTGAACGGATTATACCTGCTGAAGTAAATAGGAGATAACCAATTCTCCATTTAGGACCAAATGAAATATCAATGGTCCTGAGAGACATAGGAGCTAAGGTAAAGGTCTAAGAAACCACTGAAGAATCTCCAGGAAATCCCCAGGTTCCTTCCCAAGGGCCAGGGTTTCAGTATCAAAAGAATACCATAGTGACCCAAGAATCTCTATTTCCAATTTGCACACTTCCCCTTCAGCAGCAGCTACAAGACACTTGCTGAGCAGCTGTGAGATGTTAGAGCTCTAAATATGAGGCAGAGGGTGGCACACACATGACGGAACGGTAGCGCATAATGTGAAATGTGCACACGTGAGTTAAAAGACAGTTCCAGCAGAGTCTGTGCATGATAGGCCACAATGCTGCTCACCACAGCAGCAGAGACAGTACATGAATGAGCCAGTGGGGTGGGGAGTGGTACAGGCTGAATAAATATGAATCTGAAACATTCTATCTTGGAAGCAAATGCTGTTACTTAGGAACAAATACTCAGTGCCTTCAATGATGTTGTTCCTTTTACAATGTTTTTGTGGATGCTTGTTGGCGTTATATGATAAACACAGTAAGAGCAGGGCAAGTCACTCTAGAAGTAAGAGGTTTTCTGTTTGGAACAAGAGAACCTAACACATAGGTCATTCCCTGCCACTGATCACAAAGCCTGTATCATATGCTGCTTGGCAATATCTTCATCTTTCAATCAATAGGGTTGTTTGTGGCCATGAAATTCTGATGTTGGGCTTCCTGTGTTCTCTGTATCTGTTAGGCTCCTAGGACTCAACTTTGCAGGAAAAGGATTTGAGGTTTTTTTGTTGTGGATTTTTTTTGGGAGAGAGAGAGGGTGAAGAAGAGAGAGAGGGAGATAGAGAGAAAGAGAGAGAGAATGTTTCAATGCCAAGGCTTGAACTGGAAGGCCTGGTATTCTGCTTTTTTTTTTTTTTTTTTTGGTCAGTCAAGGGGCTTGAACTCTGGGCTTAGGCACTGTCCCTGTGCTCTTCAGCTCAAGGAAAGCGCTCTACCACTTGAGCCACAGTGCCACTTCCCGTTTTCTAGTGGTTTATTGGAGATAAGAGTCTCACGGATTTTCCTGTGCAGGCTGGCTTTGAACCGTGATCCTCAGATCTCAGCCTCCTGAATAGCTAGGATTACAGGTGTGAGCCACCAGCACCTGGCTAAGGCCTGGTATTCTTGCTCAGATTTCTTGCTTATTATGTTTTACCACTTCAGTCTAGCTCTTTGCTGGTTAATTGGAGATAAGAATCTCTTGGATTTCCCTGCTTGGGTTAGAACCACAATCCTCCAAGTCTCAGACTCCAAAGTAGCTAGGATTACAGATGTGAGTGACCAGCATCTGTTTTTTGGGGTTTTTTTTGTTTTTTTATTTTTTTATTTTTAGGTCTGGTAGTGGGGCCTGAACTCTGGATCTGGGCGCTGTCCCTCAGCTCTTCAGCTCAAGGCTAGCGCTCTACCATTTGAGCCACAGCGCCACTTCCGGCTTTTTTCTTTTTTGCTTATGTGGTGCTGAGGAATTGAACCCAGGGCCTCATTCATGCAAGGCAAGCGCTCTACCACTGAGCCACCTTCCCAGCCCTTGGTTTTATTTTTTATTTGCTTGTTGAGGTGATAGGCATTGGACCCAGATTTTCGCACATGCTATGTAAGCAGTCTATCACTCAGCTAGCTACATCTCCAGTCCTAGATCTGATGTTTTAATTTCAAGGAAAGCATTCATTTTAACACCTTTCTTTTAAATGCTCAAAATGGGAAGAAGTCGGAGTGAGAAGTTATTCAAGATACTTTCATCCATTTAATTTACATGTCCAGTAAAACATCACTTTCAGCCTGTTGAAATTTCCAGGAGAGAAATATCAAAACTCAAGAGCCATAGCTAAGAATTGGAGATACTGTGTCCAGCCTTGAGTCTACCAGAACATTCCTGGAGAGATGGCAGTAGTAGTCACATGGGTATCTACCTATCACCCTAGACAAAGCAGACCTGGCTAACCAGTCTCAGAATGGTAGATCTTAAAAGAACCTTGGAACACTAACTACTTAGAGCTCCTCACTTAACACAAGACGGAATCAGGCTTGGGGAGCGAAATTGCTGGTTGGTGGCAAGAATGAGTTCACAGCGTTAATTCCTCACACATCTTAATATCAGCTATTCTGACACTAAAATACCACCCAAGAGTGGTGGTTCATGCCTATAGTCACAGCTATTTAAAGGGTTGAGGTGAAAGGACTACTTGAGTTCATGAGTTTGAGAACAGTGTGGGCAACAGAGTGAGGACATATCTCAAAAGTCAATCAGTTGGGTGCAGGTGGCTCATGCCTATGATTCTAGCTACTCAGGAAGCTGAGATCTGAGGATTGGGGCTCAAAGCCTGCAGACTCTTATCTGCAATTAACCACAAAAAGGTAGAAGTGGATCTGTGGCTCAGGTGCAAGAATGCTAGCCTTGAGCAAAAAAAGCTCAGGTAAGCTGGGTGCTAGTGGCTCATGCCTGTAATCCCAGCTACTCAGGAGGTCGAGATCTAAAGATCACAGTTTGAAGACAGCCCAGACAAGAAAATCTTAAGATTCTTACTGCCAATAAACTACTCAGAAAAAGTAGGAAGTGATGCTGTGGCTCAAGTGGTAGAGCACTAGCCTTGAGCACAAAGAGGCTCAGAGACAGTGCCCACGCCTTGAGTTCAAGCCCCAGGACTGGCAAAAAAAAAAAAAAAAAGCAGTTCAAAAAGCAGTTCAAGGGCTGGGGAGGTAGCTCAGTGGTAGAGCACTTGCCTTGCATGCATGAGGCCCTGGGTTCGATTCCTCAGCACCACATAAGCAAAAAGAAAAAAGCCAGAAGTGGCACTTTGGCTCAAGTGGTAGAGTGCTCGCCTTGAACTGAAGAGCTGAGGGACAGCGCCCAGGCCCAGAGTTCAGGCCCCACGATGGGACCCCAAAAAAAAAAAAGCAGTTCAAGCCCCAGGACCAGCACACACACAAAAAAGTCAATCAATTAATCAAATCTTTGAAAATGCTATGGGACTGAAGATCATTAATAAGTTAAATAATATGGGGCATTGTTTTAAAGAGTGAGTTCAATTTAGTAACAGGTACTACTTTAGGTTCATGCCCAGGCTCTTCATTTTCCAGCCAATAGCCAGACTGGGTAACAAGTCATATATGCACTTACACAATAATGAGAACACAAATCAGTTAACCCTATGTTATGGTCAAGGTGCTTTTTGGGTGCTCTTACCTTCTCTTACTTGTGTTTGGAGGACCTCATCAGAGAATGTTCTGCAAGTTCTTTGGCTGAGGCTGAACCAAGAATGACCTTTGAGTTCTTATGAGATGACTGTCAAAGTCAAATAGAGTGTCAGTCAAGAACTCATTCAGCCAAGATGGAAGCACTAGGTTGCTGCAGGAGTCTGAGGGGGTAGGCTGGTTTCCATTCTTGCTCATGTAGGTTCAGGAGCGAGCTGGGCCATCAATGAGTAATTTTCATATAGTCAACATTTAGAGGGGGCAGCTTGTGAAAGAAGGGCAAAATCAGACACGAAACCATCACCAGCAATGGTCCGATATCCTGTCAAGGACAATGACAGGCAAGAAACAACCTGATGCCTAATGTTTTGACTGGTACCAACAGTGAAGTTTTGAAAGGTTTTGTGAGAAGGGACTAAACTGCTAGGAGTAGGTTTATTAATTGCCAGAAAACAAGAGAAACATTCTGTATTAAGGGGGGAAAAGTGACTTTAAATTTAAAGGTGTAGAATATAAACATATGGAGCCCTAAACTGTTATGATACACAGAGAGATTTCCTATTACATTAGAGCTTAAGCCAGTATCTTAAAATCTATGAGAGATGCAAAATCTCACAATAAATAAATAAATAGATAAATAAATAAATCTCTTATGGATAGAACAAAACTCAGGACCTGTCTTCAACTACTTAACTTTAAAGGTTAAAACTTGGTTCCTTTTCCAAAGACATATGATATAGAAGCAAGACAAATAAACAAACAAGCAGACACAAAAACAAACTAGAAGGAGGAGGATGCTACCTCAGCAGGGAATACCATGAAATCTCCTTTTCCTAGTTGCCTACTTTTGCTTAAAATTCATTCACATCCTTTGGTGGCCACAAGGCAGAGGTGTGTGCCTGAAATAATGACTGGCTTTTCAAGAGTAAATTGTGGGCCTGGCAACATTAGTCTTTCTCCAGTGGCCATTTAATGCAAAGCATCATGAACAATGGGAAGAGGGATTACTTGAAGAAAGTGTGATGGGACAATCAAAATGGAATTCTGAGAGGTCTTTCCTAATTGCATGAAATTCATACCCCAAGGCTCAGAAGCAAGTGAGTGAGCAACCCCACTGATTATGAAAAACAGAAAGATTAGGACAAAGTATACAGAACAACATTCAGATCCTGTTGAATCTGATTTTAAAAGACTTCATTTCATATTTCAAAGGCATCTCGAAACTCAAAATAATTTCTGACCATCCCAGAATCTCAACATTAAGACTGGGGCGAGGGGAGTGAGGGGAAATAACAGTGCTAAATAAAAGCCTAAAATACTGTTTACAATCTTGTCTATAAAACTCATTTGAATTTTAAGTAACGTTGAGTTCTTTGGGACATTTTTTTCTTAGACACGTTGCTCTTACACATTGCTGCTCAACATAGCCTTTGGGCTAATAATTTATGTGGTCTCCCACCCATCCCATCCTAAGTCCAGAAAGGCAAGTCAGGCATGGAGGGTGCCCTTGTTTTGTACATTTATCCTTTTGAATAAAGTGGATTATGTCAAGGCCTTTTTAAATAGCCTGTAGGGCTTGCCAGTCAGGCAAAAGTCCTCCTGGGCCTTTATCTGGTGGCAGTTTCCCTTGAGAGATTCCAGCTTCACCTTCTCCAGCAAACCTACGCAAGTGAGTATTTATGACATGTGCACCCCTACACTAATAAAATACTAAAATCTAATGGATATCCCAGACATCACATCCGTTCTTTTCTATGTTTGCCTGGAACTTTTTCTTCACATACAAGCGAGGAAAAGATATTTTCAACATCTGAAGCTAAAGCATGGCAGTGACTGAGCCCTGGATGGAACATTCTAGCAGTATAGGGACAGTGGGTAGTAGTAAACTGAACCTGTAAAAGAAATAATAAACCTGGCACAAAGCAACATAAATGAAAGCATCCCATTTCTCCACAACACAGCCCCATGCACAGAGATTAAGTGAGAAGCTAAGCGTTGTCCAAGTGCATGTCAAACGCACACAGAGGTATGGTTCTGCCTGGGACCCACCTGCTGTGTCCCTGAATGTCCCCCAGCTCCTTCTGCAGCCTGGCATTCTTCTCCTCTTCCTCCAGCAGCCTCCTTTTCACCGTGCGAAGCTCCTGCTGGGCCTCACACTTTATGTCATTGGCCACCACTACTGCAGTCTGCAGGTCTGCCTGGAACCGCCTCCACTCCTCTGTCTCCTCCTGCAAATGTGAGTCCACAGATGCTTCAGACACAGGACAGGTATGCAGGGCTGGCAGCTAGGCAGGGGCTCTCTAACCCCCACATCAGACACTAAGAAAAAAATAGCCAGCAATAAGGCCCTGAGTTAATAGTGTGTCAGAGGAGACAGAGACGCAGGTGGGAACTCCAGTTTTACGTCACAAAGTTCTCCATCTTAAAACTGGAATTGCTTTCCTTTTACTTTCTGCCATTAGAAAGAATGTGCATTTCAGAGCCAGGCTACAGAAAGTGGCTGGACAGAGTACTGGTGTACTTTCCCAGTGCCTCCACACTATGACAGGAGTAATGTTCAGTGACTTGACAGAGGAGGCTCCCTCCCTGGCTGTAATCCACACTCACCTTTATTTGCTTTGTCAGGGTCTTGAGCTGCCGTTCCAGGTCTGACTTCTGCTCCTCCAGTTTGATCACATTGCCTAGAAGTAAATGATTCAGACAGGATTTGGAACACTGCAAGATACCTCAAAGATGGGAAGCTGTGTGGCAATGGAAGCCATCACAGGCTTGCAAACCTGTCCTGTCTATGCTAAACTCAGTTCTGAATACCTGCAAAGGAGGAACTGGAAGTGAGATGTGTCTAAGCAGGGAACAGAAAGATGTGGGAAGTTAAGTGATGCTTACTTAGGTTCTATACTCAGGAAACAAGTTGTACCACCATGCAGCACTATGAAGGAAACCTTAACAGCCATTCACATTTACCCTGAATTCCTGGCTATTTACACACAAGCATTCTGAGTGGCTTTTACTGCTAGGAGGGTCTAAGCTCTTACAAATGTAAAGTCTGCCTCTAGGATTGTAGTTCCTACTTACAAGCAAAACTCAGAATCTTGTGGCACATTTCAAAGGCACAGATGTGCCTGGCCCCTGAGCTCTAGACCCACAAGCTCAGAATCTCCAAGGGCAGCCAGAATGTAAGCCTATGTTTACTGACAGCTCCACAGGTGGCCTGACTATGTCTCTCTAATTAAGAACAATTCCCGCTGTCTCTGTCCTCTCTGCTTCCAATTCTCTCCACATTACTACCAGAGCCATTTAAACGTAAAACTCCTCACATAAGCCGCTTGGTTACAATTCTCTGATCAAGAACAGTAGTTATCTATTTTAGATGTGAGTCAGAATCACAAGAGAAGGTTTAAAAGAATCCTTCTGCTCACATCCTACTCTAGCACTTGTGAATCAGCATGTGGGGCAGAGAAGTTGTGTTTGGGATGAGTATTGCAGAAACTTCCATCATTTTTTATTGTTCTGTTGCTCTGAAGGAAATCATGGAAAGAATGACTAGTCTAACTGAAGTTGAGTGTCCCTGGTTCTCCTGACACAAATATAGCTTAATAATACCTTCATATTCCTAAGAGAAGTTTCAAGCCTCTCAGAAGATTGTGTTATTTTCTGTCTTGATTATATTATAAATATAACCACTGGAGGTAGACTTGAAATGTGTTCTGGGTTGGTTTTCATTGTTGTTGTTGGTGGTGGTAGTGTGTGTGTCTGGGCTGACTTCTAAGGATTTAGGGACAATTCAACCATATTCTCAACAGTAATATATCACAAAAACAAATAAAACAAGACAGGACTCTTCTATGACCTGATTCTTTTCAAAAGTGGGGCTATGTCTGGCATTACAGAGGAGGAAGGTCTGAATTAGGTCCTCAGGCACAACTACTGAGTCTGGGTGGTTCTAAGCACAGCTTTTTTTTTTCTTGGGTCCGGTCATGGGGCCTGAACTCTGGGCCTGGGCGCTTTCCCTCAGCTCTTCAGCTCAAGGCTAGCGCTCTACCACTTGAGCCACAGCGCCACTTCCAGCCTTTTTTCTTTTTCCTTATGTGGTGCTGAGGAATGGAACCCAGGGCCTCAGGCATGCAAGGCAAGTGCTCTACCACTGAGCCACCTTCCCAGCCCTCTAAGCACAGCTTTACTGCATGTTGTTATGTCTGATGAAGAATGTGACATGATACTACATGATTCATCCAGACACAGTACACTGTCACTTCTCACTACTCATGGAAGTTACTTAAAATCACCAAGATCACTCAGCTAGCAAACACTGTGCTGTGGCTCCCAGAAGAAATACAGAATCAGGTTCCAAAGAGCCTCTGGTCACATTTTTCATGAACTGAAATGTCATTTGTGTTATATAGGTTTGTTTGCTAATGCCTTTGTAAAACAAACTAGTCATATTAGTGTCAGAAGCCCATTCCTCCCTCTTCATTGCAGTATTGAACACGGGTGTCTTGTGTGTGTGTGTGTGTGTGTGTGTGTGTGTGTGTGTGTGTGTGTGTGTGTGTG